CATGTCCAAAATACAACATTTTCAAGAAACAAGATGGCTGCCAGTCGGCCATTTTGAATCAAATTGCTAAACCACTGCATGTGCATATGTCCCACATAAGGTACTAGGCACATGCAAAGAATGAACGGAATCGGTCCACAGGATTCTGAAATATGACTCTGGACAGACTGACGCACAGACGGATGGACACACGGACAGATGGACAGACTCAGGAACTCACGGACGGTCGGGGACATGTATCCTAAAATGTATGATCTATGTCCTAAATTTGAATGAAAACTGACAAAGCATGTCCAAAATACAACATTTTCAAAAAACAAGATGGCTGCCAGTCGGCCATCTTTGATCCAATTGTAAATAAATCGTCATGGACATGTATCCTAACATGTATAATCTATGTACTAAATTTGAATGAAAACTGACAAAACATGTCCAAAATACGACATTTTCAATAAAACAAGATGGCTGCCAGTCGGCCATCTTTGATCCAATTGTGAAATAAATCGTCATGGACATGTATCCTAACATGTATAATCTATGTACTAAATTTGAATGAAAACTGACAAAGCATGTCTAAAATACAACATTTTCAAAAAACAAGATGGCTGCCATTCGGCCATTTTGAATCGAATCGCTAAACCACTGCATGTGCATATGTCCCACATAAAGTACGAGGCACATGCAAAGAATAAACAAAATCGGTTGAAGGGATTCTGAGATATGACTCCGGACGGACGCACAGACGCACGGACGGAGACCGAATTATAAGTCCTCGTTTTCGAACTTCGTCCGAACAGGAACTAATAATTGGCAGTGTTCAATAAAGACACATCTACCACTTAATATGAAGGTCATTCTCCAAATGAGATCCTATCTACAAAATTATTATACAAGCTTTCACTCATTTTAACTGGTATTTTAATATTACTATGATGAGCATATTCAATTTTCACAAACTTCACAGTGTTCATTTAATAATGCACTTAGAGAATATTGAATAAAATTAAATTATTTTCTTAATAAATATTATTACGCATCATATTAAATGTGTCATGGTATGTTTGTATATAATAACGAAATTGTGAATTGTTTGCTAGAAATAAAACATTTAAGATTCAGTTTGATACAAGAAATTGTAACTCGCATTAAAACTAACAGCTGCTGGCTAATCACATTGTAATTACTACATTGAAATAAACGATCATAATTGCAAAGTATTTATTATGATTTGATAGTTTATAAAATCAATATAATTGCTGATTCATGAATTTTGTTTTGACGCGATACACTGAAACATTACGTATTTTTGCAAAAGACAAATTTTCCCCAAACTTCACAAGTCAGTAAAAAAAATCACCTAATTGTGTATCAGTGAAAATTATACTGAGGTCCTAAAAACAGCAAGTCTCGGTTACATTTGTCATATGTTATGTTCAATAATGCCATTCAATCATGAAATTGTGAATGTTACTTCAAGTGAAAATTAAATGGTTCAAAGTATGTGCATAAAGCATACATGGAGTGATTTGCTGAAAGCACTTAAGTATTCATTGTTAGATACGTTCACAATTGATTGATCCAAGGATGATTGTAGGAAAATATCACAAAAGTCGCTGTAACCTCAGTGATATGTTAACTGCTACAATCTTTGTGATGTCACTAAATTAAAAAATAATCGACACATGAAGTTAAAGTGCATTGTATGATTTAACTAATTTGCATCTTGGCTGTCACCAATTAGGGAATTTCAGTCAAATAAATTGTCACTGTGAAGACGGGTAAGTTTAACTTGTAGTCAATATGTTTGGTTTGTTTCAGTGCCCAGGGCAATTCCACTGCTGTCTCTCCTGATTTGTTTCCGTCTTAGGCGCTAATTGCAAGTTTGTGCATGCAAACCAAGGCTCTCGTACCTAATACTGGATTGTTTGGCAGGCAGGGCAGACTGCACTATGACAGGAATTCTAGAACACCTATTAATTAATTAAACACTGCTGTGATACAACTAGAAAATTACCTAATTTGAGTGTTTGTGAAGAAGTCGCTGTGACTGCATTTTTAGGATCCTGGTGAAGGTTCACAGCTTCAATATACTGCAATTTTCCTGGAAAATTTATCGCATGTGAAAAGCGAGCTACAATATTTTCTATTCTGATTATGCCTCAGTATATTTGTAATAATAATCTTTATTGTAATCATATCCTCTATGGGACTTTGATTATGAAATACAATAAAGGTATAGCAATGAAAAAATATCACTTTTCACCAAAAATAATCATCAAAATTAGATAATTGAAGATATCACCATGAAATTAACAAATCTGAAAGAGGTCCACATGTAGTACCTATATACAGTATGTAATATAAAAGCAATCAGACTTGCGATTTTCAACAATAAGTTAAAAATATCACTTTTTACCAAAAATTACAAAAATATTCACCAAAATTAGAAAATTGAAGATATCATCATGAAATGAACAAATCTGAGAGAGGTACATATACACCAAGTATCAAAGCATTCAAGCCTGTAGTTTTCAAGAAGAAGTCGAAAAGGTAAAACATTGACACGGACGACGATGGACACTCATATGATAAGCTCCGCTTGACAAAGTCGACAGCGAAGCTAAAAAGTATAAGAGTATAAAACAAAGTTATTAATAGAATATAATACATAAATTAAAGTAAAGTTGTTCTCTGGAATTTTAAAACAATCAATTTGTATATACTGTATTTGTTCCATTAGAAATGCAAATAAACTATAAATTACCTTTATTGTACATTTGATCATTAAAATTCCACTGTCATTGTGCAGGGTGGATTTGAATTATATAGTGCATATGACCCTTATCAAACACGACTTTGAGTGATTACTGTGTCTTTTAAAATAGGGAAATGACCTTCAAAACATATTTGTCAATTATGTAATCATACTAACTAAGATTTGTTAACATTCATTATGGTGTAATAATTGGAATTATTATTATTACGGTATTATTACTTATAGAACAACTATGTGTATCACCTGCTTGTAGCCTCTACAGATAGCCGATGTGAATATGAGGTTATTATGAGGATACCCCAAAGTATGCATGAAGACAGTACAGTGGAAGTATCGACCGACATGCAGAGGAGGTCGATGCGACGGCACGCTGTCTGAGTGTATAATATGAGGTATTCTCGTAATAACCTTATTATTATACATCATTTCCTTCCAAGGATACATCATGGGAATGCCTAAATCCAAAAAGTTTAAAACAGAATCAGTGAACTTCTTTGTGTGGAGTCCGGTCAAACCCTGGTCAAAGCCATGTTTGTTTTTATTATTAGAGGAAACTTACATGCGTAATATTTGGAATTCGCATTTCCATTAAATAGCAGGAAGAAAATACCACGTAAAATACCGCAAAATTACGGCACGCTGTAACTTATGGCATTACCGTGACAGATGTATAATAATGTCATTTAATCAAACATAGGGATAAATATTACAGACTTGCCATTTGGAAAGACAGCAGGCGACTCATAATAAACACACTGAGGAGTCGGAGAAAATAATAAGAAAGGGACAGCTAAAAACATTGAGGTGTAAAACACCAGTTTTGATGCAAATGCTAATATCTTCACCTAAATAAAAATGTTGAGATTTTTAGTCCAAATAAACAAATGTAAGATATCCACTGGCATGTGAAATTTGAGGTTTTGACACAAAGTGAACAAATCCGACAGAACCATGAAACAGGACTGCATTTATCTCACTGAAAAATCATGCTCATCTTTGTTCTGTTCCTATGCAGTAATAGTCTTTAGGTATTTCAATGCATTTTTTATTGTAGTTTTGATTGTTTTTATAAATCTGAGAGGTACCGTATTAATTAATGCAAGTTTTCAAGAAGAATAAAAAATAACACCATAGTAATGAAATTACCAAATCTTCTCACAAACTGCAGATCACTTTTGATAAAAAAAATAACCCTTGAAATTAGTTTTGAAGATATAATCACAAATCTAAGAGACGTCCACCCAAGACACATATACTAAGTATCAAATGATGAACAGACAACTGCACTGATCAATTACAGTGATCTATATAATTTCAATAACTAGGTCATAGTGTACCAGTGAGGAGGACGTCCAGTGTTTTGAAATTCGTAGAAGTGATTAAGCTCACTAAGTCAAACATAATTTTATGATATCTCAAAAATTATCCATATGTGGCAGTTCAATTTCTCAGCAGGCCCAGATTCCATACTAATACATACAATATACTAGTTTTGAATAGATCATATGCAAACTTTTGACATACTTGAGCTAACAAGTAACCAGCAATGGAGGACGAACATCCGATGATGGAAAACAAATATTTTGCTAACTTATACCTTGCCAATAACTTTCATTTACAAAGGACAAATTTGCTATTGTACAATTGATCTAGTCAGAAAATGTCACAGCATACAGACGTTTTAAAAATGTTTGGACTGACTGTCACCTGACAATGCCTGCTGACCTCTTGCTTGACTCATGGAGCTAGAAAGGGCTAGAGCTTGAGCTCTTTTTACCTCCCTGGCTTGACCCAATGATGTGCCCGGATGTAACAGTTGAAAAGTACTTGTCATAAAAATTGAAGATTAATGGAGATTTGGGTATTTGTTAAGGATTAGTTAAGATCATAAATGTTTGTTTATTTTATTTGAAAGAAATGTTCAAATGAAATGCTGGTACTCATAAATCTACAATACACTGCACTTTGAGCCCAATTATACAGTATAAAAGATAAAATCAATGAAAATACAGTAAAGCTTCTATGAATGTTCACAATTTGACATTCACTAGTGAAGGTCACTGTGACTTGCATCTTCAGGGTCCCAGGAAAATTTTCAGTGTAACAAAATTTTGCGAAATCACAAAGGTTTACTTTTGCTATGTCGTTATTGTCATGTCACAAACTCTTTCAGGAAAAAATCTGTAGAATTTAAAATGTGGATATTTGAGTAGATAGGTGACTAAAACATTGAACTTGAAAATTTGTTTCACATGTAAAACCATCTAAGCGGAAGTGGGAGTGAATGACCTTTGAACTTTCCAAGCAGGGAAAAATCATCATAATTCCAGAAAAATGCAGAAACTACTTTCAATGTCATGCACATATTCAACAAGCACATATCATCACCATGATGTGAATCAATGAGATAGATTGTCCTATTATGATTCCCAAATATTGGGAAGCAGTGGAAATACATGGCATACTTTCAAGATTAACCACGAAATCCAGACAGGTTACAGAATCAACAATTCATGTTGCCTGTTTCTCAAACACACAGACACCTTTTTGTTGGATTTCTCCCTGACCCTAGAGTCTTTTGTCTCTTGAAAACAAAGGTATTCCCTGAGAATGTGGAAGATTCCATTGTGTCAACAGGAGTGTGACTATTTCTTTTTGCAAGAAAGCTCCTCGAATAATAGGAGTACATGCATTTGTTTACCGCGTGATAATAGTTTAATTAACTGGTAATCGACCCATCGCGTCTTTTTATACAGAAAATCGACGACAATTTTACGTTAATGCGTTTGCCTTAAAGATACTTTGTGTCCTCTTCCGTCGGCCATTAAAATTCACGATTTCTATCTCGACGTTCAAGCCGTGCTGAGGCTGGATTGCGACAACCGATCTCAATAAATACTCAACCATACAAACATACCTGAGAAAACAACTAAACTATAATCTCATGATTATCGACACAGCGATGATCCAGGCTAGAAACATAATAGGATAAGCGAGTAACTGTTTAGTTGAGGTCATCGCCCCGCACCTTTTTTAATCATTGCCCGGTACCGTCATTGGCGACGATATGTTATACACTACTACACATCATAATACTGAAAAATTCGCAAAGAATGTGACAATGTGTTCAGGCAAATTGTATAAATTGCACATTTTAAATAATCACACGAAACATGTAGCGCAAGGTCACCGGACGACGGAAGATGGAAATACATCCCAGCCCATTTGGAGAGTCGTCGGCCGATATATGACCAACTAACGGGGGCGTTTCCCTCTGATCACGCCCCGTCTGCCGTTTTAGATTTAACAAATTACCAAGTAAATTACATAACACATCTACTTACCATTTTCGGTTAAATTATACGAAAAATGAAACGCGAAATCTGAAGGAGTGGACGACCAGGAAACTTGCCACGAACAGAATTACTGTAATGCAACGTCTGTGCGTCGGCTGGCGGTGAACCGGTTACCGATGATGTCAGCTAGTCAACTCTTTGTTGAGCGCCAACTATGCATGACATCACACTCTATGTTCAAATAAGGCAGTGCTCACGGAAACGGCTCCTCATCATTAGCGCAGCCCCGCTACGGATGACTGTCAACTACTAGTACGCCTATATATATCTAGGGTGAAAAAACAAATCAAGTAGACCCCATTTCGAAACTTCGAGAATAAGAAAATAACCATGGCGTAATGTTCGAGAAAAATTAAATTCCTAGAATCACAGGGATAGAGGGACTGTGCTAGAATGCAACCACTTGAGAATGTCAACTGAATTGGTTTGTTTACGATTTTACAACATGTTCACACAGTTTTTTATTTTATTTCAAGAGAATTACGTGTATGTAATTAAAATGAGGGTTAAAGTTAAAACAAATATAAAGTGCACGTTACAGTCAAAATGTAAATAAGAATGAAAGTTCCTGTTAAAATTGTAGGCCACATAGAATAGTGTTTTGCAATAGAAATTGATCTAACATTTTTTATTGAGTTTATACTCTTCTTATTATCATAAAACATACATTGTGTGCAATTATTCAACCGAATATTGTTCGTCGAGAGTTATTTCAAATATATTTTACATTCCCGGCATTGTAC